TTTACTGGGGTTTGTTTTTTCTTTTTTCCCTTTCATTAACTTTATACATTTTATGTATTTTTTTCATTCATTTACTTAAATGATTTCTTGTGAAAAAAGTGGAAATGAAGATTCGTTTTTTTTTTTTTTTTTCTGTATACTAATTTTATGTTTTTTTTTCTTTTTCTCTCTCTCTCAAAAAATCAAAAATTTATTGACAGAACTAACCTAGACCTTTATTTTGATGCATAATAGTAATACATTCAACCGCTTTACTCATTACAATAAGTTATTAACTTTGAATGCGATTTCCTCAACTAATATTTTGGGGATAAGCCCCTCTTGCATATGAGACCTTATATATAGATAGATAGATACATACATACATACATACACACATATATATACATATATGTTTGTACGTGTGTGTGTGTATGCAAGTATTTTTGTTTGGATATGTATTGTGTATCCACATTACCCAGTATCTTGTCAACAGATTGTCATTGCAGAACAATGGTACATATTTTATTTTTCATGATTTCATTTCCCCAAGAAGAGCCTTGCCCCCATAAGTTTGCCTTGCTTTCCACAGGAGGCAGAGGGAGCCCAGCATGTACAAGAGGCTCTCCTCCCACATCTCTTCCATCGACCTTCCTGACCTTCCTGACTTGCCGGATGCCTTCCGTGAGACAGCCTCGCGCGTTGAGTCTGCCCTCCAGCATGCCCGCAGCTCCTATGAAAGCCACACACGCAAGGAAAAGACTGAGAAGAAGGGGAGTGAGAAGTCTGACTCCAAGGAGGAGGCAGAAGCAGAAGAGGAAAGGGGGGAAGGGGAGACCTTGGAGGACAAAGATTCAGAGGAGGACCTAAGGTAGCAAGAGAGTGAGGCAAGGGCAGATGCATGGCAGCCTCCTTGACAGAAAATGCTGCTATCAAAGACTGTGTTTTTTCATCTTAGGATATGGGAGTTAAAGAAAAGAAAACTAAAGAGAGAACAAGATTTTTTTTTCTTTTGGTGAAATTAGGGCTCCTGAGAAAGTATAGTGAAAGATGTAGATTGCAGAATCTATGAAGTTTTTGTTTTTCTGTTAGCAATTATGCTCATGTTTTTTCTTTTTTCTTTCTTTCTTTTTTTTCTTTTTTTTCTTAAGGAAGATGTAGTTCTACTTATTCTTTAGAGATTAGAGACCCAGTACATGAGCTTTCTAACATTATTCACATGCTACACTGGAAGTCATAAGCTTTCTAACATTATTCAATTACTGCACTGGAAGTCTCCTCATGATAGTTGTTCATTTAAAGAATTTTGGTGTATCAAAGAATTTTATTTATTCATGCTGAAAAAATATTTTTGATGGTGCTGTGCAGTTCTCATGTTTCCTTTATCCAAGGAATTGAGTTTGACATATATGTAACATCAGGCAAATGGAAATTAGACATGTATTTAGGTTTTCTTTACTTTTATCTAGTCATTCCTGATACTTGTATAAGGGAAAACAACATAACCTACTTAATTATGGTTGTACATTGGAATAATTTTTTTCTCTCTCCCTTTTCTTATATTATAACAAATTGGTGAAGACCTTTTAATGATTCACTTATTAATCTTGATTTCTTACAAATCTAATTCTGTTTATAGTAAACTTACTTCAGTACATTGTGCCTGATAGTACTGCTCTTGTTAAAATGCCTAGTGCACTTTTCCATACAGTGGTATGAGTGCAGTACATTTCAGAGGGGAAGGAAGATACTAAACATATAGATATTACAAATAACAAGACTTCAAGAACATGATGTGTATAGACCTGAGGTGGTATTTTCATGAGTTTTATTGTTGAAACGTAGCCTAGTATTTATTATAGTATTTATTAATTAATTTATTTATTTATGTTTTTTGATATTCTTAAACCTAGTAGCTAGATTTATTTGTGCCTGAATTATATTTCTTATGTGGATACAACTACATTCTCCAAATTAACTTCACAGAAATGGAATTACAAGCTGTATAAAGCCATGTGTTTTTATTGTTATTTGAAATACATCCTGTGGAAATGTCAGTGAGAAAGTAATAACTTGTCTAATAGTAGAAAAAAACCATAATGCACAAACCAGATTTATTGAAGAAAGTGAGATAGCAGTTTTGGAATTGTCCTCGATGCCATCTTCAGACCCCAAGATGGAATCGAGGACAATTTTGAAACTGTTGTCTCATTTTCTTCAATAAATCTAGTTTGCGCATTGCAGGTTTTTCTACCATGGTATCAACATGGCAGAGTGTTTTTCCATTCAACTTGTCTAATCTGTTTCTGTCTTCTAAGAAAAGCTATTAAATGACAATAAAAAATTATGGAACTTTTCCAGGTGGTTTCATTGTTGATTTTGTAATCCCATATAAGATATTTGAATATTAGTGATAAAAAAATGAAATTTAAATTTGTATCTATATGGAAGCAGCATTTATAAATGATGAGGGTCATTTTTCAGCGTAGTGTCTTATTGCACTCATATTTTGCATTCTTTAGATAGTTTCAGAAAAAAAAATTCTTCTGGAACTCCAATAAACAATATATTTTTGTGGGTGCATAGGCACATACACATATATATGTCATCTTGAACTCCATCTTGGTCTTGTCTACTCTGAAGATTTTATGTCCTGTTGATTACAACTCTAATAACCACATTGCTATAATTATAAAATAATAACATAAAAGTATTTTTTAAGGAAAAAAAGTTTGGCAAACATTATTTTACAACAGCTGAGAAACCATGTGTAATCTGGAAGTTGAAATGGAGTGAAAATGGAAGTCATAAAAGAATGAGAACAGCTAAGCATATTGTTATACCTTACCTTCCACATATATGTTATAAACTTTTTGAAAATCAGAATCTGTGCCTTATACATACTATTGAACCAAACTATGGAGTATGACTGTAATACTATACTAAAAGACATAAGTCCATAGAAAACTTCTAAACAACCCAATTATTCAAAGTACTGAAATACATACTGTCAAGTAGATAGATGTCTGTAGGGATTTCTAAACTCTCCATACTAAACTATATTGCAAGAGATTCACACAGACATATTTCGTTCTTGCCAATTATCTTGCTGCAAGCTATATTTCTACTGATGTTACAGGGAAGGTCACACAAAAAATAGTTTTTATAGTCAAAATGTATTTTAAAAATGCAATACAATGACATAAATTTATTACATTCGTTATTCATCTTGGAGCTGTGATACCACCATTGCATGCTTTGGACGCTGTGGGATGCACGCAAGTGTAACTTTAATGCCCGAACTGGGCAGAACCATGGTTAGTGGGTCACACTGCACCTGCCCGATGTGAAAGTTATGGCAGTTCAGAGATTTTAAAGTCCATTGTGAAACCTGTGTACCGCCTAATTCAGACTCGGTAATGCGCTGATAAGAGCCAGGATCTATATCTGACTGACTCTCGCAAAGGTCTCTTGTCATTTCTGCCACATACAATATGGAACACGGGAATGTACTCTCCGTTAGTTCATCAGGGTTTTTTTCTTGACTACTTTGATTTGATACTGTTTCCTTGTACTTTTTTTGCTCTCTTTCCTTGTTCTTCTGATCATACTTTACTTTATCTTTGGTCCTTTTTCTGCCTTTGTTTTTTCCTTTTGTTTTTCTTCCTTTGTTTTTTCCTTTTGATTTTCTTCCTTTGCCCTTTTCCCTTCTTCGCCGATTTTCGTTTTTTCTCTTTCCCGGTTTCTTGTTTTTCCTTCGTTTCATCCCCTTGCTCTTTACGTTCTTTCTCCTTTTCTCTGTTTCTTTCTTTCTATTTTGTAGTCGGACGACCTCCACTTCGATCTGCGAACCCATGACGAGGGAGTGGTCGCTCTGAGCTCCCTGTCCACTCACTATTTCGTACCTCTCTGACCTCCTGCGTCCATCCGGTAGTTGAGTTTCAGCAGCAAAGTTCTTGTTGCTGTCTTCATGAACGTACGTTTTGTTCCCCATAGACGCCTGGAGTGATCCTGGAGCGGCAGATATTCGGGACACGAGCAGGATGGCAACCATCACTGACAGGAGCTCAAAGATTCTTTGTGTCGATTGTCTGTCCATATCTGGAGGGTGATGCCATCAGCGCTTCGATCCAGGTTCACTGTGATAGTCCTGGGTCACCAAGTAAGGAAACCTCGCTATCAGCTTCCTACGTATATGTTCAGTCCTGCTTTTGTGTCCCAGTTTCGACGTCCGAGCCTATGCAGTAAGAGAAAAACGTCGAAATGGATAATTCGACTTGGGAAGATATCATGTACCGTGAAGCAAGGTTAAGAGGTGTGATATAGTTCACAAGCAAAGGGCGACTGTCCGCCAGACATCGGTAAGTGTCATATAAATATGTGTTTTACAGAGCAGACTTTATGGTCTTTTAAACAATTTGGTGCGAAAAAGGACATCCGACTATAATATTTTATCCCGTGGGAAACTCAAGACAAAAAAGGGAAGCCCGTCGTTTTTTTTCTTTTTTCATTATTGTCATTGCTCTACACTTCTTATATTTTTTTCTCCTTCACTTCCATTACGTCCTCCCCTTCTTCTTTCTCCTCTTACATATCCTCATTTAGCTTTCCTTCTCCCCTTTCATAATCCTCCGCCTCTACTCGCAGTCCTTCTCCTTTTCCTCATGTTCCTTTTCCTGCTTTTCATTTCCTCTTCCTCCTCCGCGCTTTCCTTTTCCATCTTTTATTCCTCCTCCTCCTCTTCCTCTTTCTTCTTTTTTTTCCTCCTCCTCCTCCATTTCTTCCTCCTTATCCTTTTCCTTCTTTTTTCGCTATTACCTTTGTCTTTTTCTTTTCTCTCTCTCCTCTTCATCATCATCCTCTTCCTCCTTATCCTTTTTAGTTTTTACTTTTCCATTGTTGTCATTGTTCTAATTCTCCTTTTCTCTTATTAATATTATTACTCTTCCTCCTCTTCTTCTTCCTACTCCTCCTACTCCTACTCCTCCTACTCCTCGTCCTCTTCCTCTTCTTTATACTCC